GGAAAGGTCCCCTCAAATTATATCAAATGAGGGTTCTAACAGGCCCAAACAAAAGTTCTATCAGATTGAATCAGGAAAAAGTTTTCTCAATGGGGTATTTTTGGTTCTGTAAGGCACACTTCGTTGCATAGGTACGTAGTCGATAGTTTCACAACTGTTCAAAGTTCATCAGTTCTCAAAATCATATCGGAGTCATTTATCACAACTGTTCATGCCAAAGTATTTCAAATCATGTACAATATGGCATTGTTCACATAAGTTCAGGTGTAGTTGCATATGCAGGCGTTCATATCAGGAGGTATATATCATAATCAGTATAGAAATTCTCAAATAGGTCTTATATGCAAGCACATGGTACACAGTAACACATTAAACAAAGTTCTTCGGTTACGCATTATATAGGATTTGTTACGCAGAGGTTCCAAATTAGTCACAAAAACATAGGTTTACGAGTCAAGCTTAACATAGTCACATAGTTCAATCAATTTTCTACCAATCCAAATACATGATCTCGCAATTTATAGAGTTCGTCATTTAGGGTGCTCAACCCGGTCACACAATCACAGAGTCATAATTCCAGTGGTTTAGTCATTGAAGACAGTAATATAACAAATCACCATGAGCATAGGTTTAGACGTACATGTGCATGTGCAGAGTTAGTTGATATCCTAATACATATTTCACAAATTCCCCAAATGGAGCATATACATTCAATGAATACGGTCTCGACCATGTGGGTCTAACCAGTCTGGATGCACATGCAGCAGATACGAAAGAAGATGCCGATCCGAATCAATTATACCCCAAACAAAGATATACACATGTACTAATTCAGAATCAATCAACACATAAGCATTCGTTTATAAATAGTATAGATACCTGGGATAACGTTCGCAGTATTTTGAGCGCTTTCTGAGATGAGTGTGATTACTCTATCCTGATTAGCAATTCCTACCATTGGTACGAATCTAGCTGAGGCAGAAGATTTATTCGCGTTCCGTTCAATTCGGGGACAGTTCCTTACCATATGGTCCATTCTACCACACCTATAACAAGCCGCAGAAATTCGATAGCAAACTCCTCAGTGTTTCTTACACTGGTGGTGGCAAAGGTTCTCGCCGTAGTGGCAACTGACGTTATTGTCTTAAAATCTCTGCCATTTCTTGTACTATTCTTTGCAGTCTATCAAGTTGGGCTATGGAAGAGTCTGCCAACTCGTATGCCCTTACTTTATCCATGTTCTACACAAATTCTTATTAAGCCTTGCTAAATACCGAGATGCCCAATACAAAAATAAACACAGATACACATGCGTACATTCGCACATAGGCACATTATTATATTCCCATTTTATGTATCGTCAAGGCACAATTAATCGCATACGTAACAGATGATTGCATACTTATCAGATATTGCATGCTGAACATTTACTAAGTAGTTATATACTCAAATCATGTTCATATTTCACATAGACACCCATTTGCAGAATCGAATGCACAAAAGCAACTTTTCATGACTCATTTGTTCATGTATGTGCATTATAACAAAACAAACTTGTTGTACACATTAATGTAACAATTCGTATATCATATAATCACATGTTCTCACCATCTGATTAAACTTGCATTATACTTTATACAAAAGATTCACAGGTATGCATATACAAAAGAGCATACGTATTCAAATATTTTGCAATGCAAGCAATTCACAAACTTATAGCACATAATCGTTCATATCAAAACAGTTAGGCATATTCTCGATGCGTCCAAATTCATACTTATCACATGAATGCATCCTAGATCTTTTCTAGATGCTTATTGCTCTTTTCATTCATGTCAAAACGGCCTCTAGCCCATCCATTTACTCTTGTCAAAACGGCCTCTGGCCCTTCCATTTATTCTTGTCAAAACGGCCTCTGGCCCATCCATTCATTCTTGTCAAACGACCTCTAGCCCATCCATTCATTCTTGTCAAACAGCCTCTGGCCCATCCATTCATTTAGTATAAGAAACATTGTCCACCAATCAAATCAACGAAACTTATAAAACTTACATGGACGTAAGCAATTGGACAATAACATATTTCAGATATCTTCGTTAGATATTACTCACAGTGATCGGCAAATTGATTTGCCCTGGAGCTTGACCCTACACATCACATAACACATATGGGTCACAACCGATTCAATCCATTCTTAATTCGCATATTCCTCTTTAGGCTTAATTCTTATTCTTCTAACTCATTTACAATGCTAAATGTATGCCTAAGAGTACTTAGAAGTGAAAGGGAACAGAAAATGGAACACAGAATGCATTTTCAAAATTTTAGGAAACAGGGTCCCTGCTCGAGCGTGGACTTCCCCGTTTGAACGGACCCATGAGGTTTGCAAAAGTGCTGGATGCATCAAAATTATGCTCAAGCGTTAAGTCTAGCACTCAAGCTGAAGGTCTGTCTACATAGCTCCCCGCTCGAGCATGAACTTCCCCGCTCGAGCGAACATCCAAGTCTGCCAAAATACTGGGAGCACGGAATTCACGCTCGAGCGTCGGTTTCCCCGCTCGAGCGGACATCAAATTTTCTGGGTTTTCCAAAACATGTTCTTAAGTTCCAATTCGACATTCAATGGTTCTAGATGCATGCTTTTGGCTCAAACTTCATATAATCATATATTAACATGGTACCAACACCAAATTACAACACAATGGAGCTCAATTTCACAAATTAATCATATGCATGTCCCAATCTACACCAAATTCACTTTTAACATAACAATTTTATGCATTCAAGCTCATACTTCTTATGAATGGTACATACATGTGAGATATAACTTCCATTTCAACTCAAATTGTACAAATGGTGGTCACAAGCATGGATTCTAGCCAAGATTCTACATGGATCATATTTTTCATGCTCAACTATACCAATTCATGGCAATTATACACATGCATGCATTCCATGACTTCAAATTCATCAAATACAACATAATTCTTGTTCTTGATCACCCTTCAACTTTGAATTCACAAAATCACAAGATTAAGCTCATGAATTTATAATCAATTACTCACCTAGAAGCTCAATCTTCCCAAAAGAAGCAAGTTCTTGAGCCTAGCCCTTCAAAGCTTGAGCTCTTTAGCAGAATCTTCAAAATTGAACCCTCTCTCTCTCTAAATCCGGTTCTCTCTCTCTCCAGAGAAGAATTTCGGATGATGAGCTCAAAAAGGAACAAAGCGAGGGTGTATAATGGCCTCTAAAAGCCCCCTCTCAAATACATTATTCTAATGTAAAATAATTGAGCACTAACCCATTAATTTAATCTAGTTAATTTGATCCAAATCAATTTTCAATTAAATTTCACCGTAGGCTCTAAAAATTACGCCAATCACAATGACGCAGTCAATTTCGGGTTCTGTGGCCGATAAGGCCTTCAATTTAATTTCCAAAGCAGATAATCCAATAGATATTCCTACGGTGAACAGATAGAAATTCAAAACCACATATATTCACATAATTGGCACACAAAATCATATCAGACACATAATCAAATTCATAATAAGGACCAATTAACATAATACGAAATAGGGTTATCACACATCTACAACTTCATTTGCGATTAACACACTATCTAAAATGTACCTACCACTCACAAAAGCAGACTGTACCTCGCTAATCACAGATGGAAGAACTCTCTTAAGCCTCCTGGAAAGCACATTTGCTAAGACTTTATAGACAGAACTAACCAAGCTGATAGGTCCATAATCTCCCAAGCCTATAGGATTATCCTTCTTAGGAATAAGAACGATGAAAGAGTTGTTAACCCCTCTGGATAGCTTACCATTATGGTGAAATTCATTCACCAGTTATAGGATCTCCCTTTTCAATATAGACCAACACCTTTGAATGCAAGCAAGGTTAAATCCATCTGGGCCTGGGGCTTTGTTCCTATCACAGTCTTGCACTGCTTCCCATACCTCATCTTCAAAGAATACAGCTTCCAAGTTACCAACATCCATAGAGCTAATAACAGCAAAAGGGCCTAAAATTTTTGGCCTAAACTTCCATTTCTCAGAGAACAACAGACTGAAATGCCTAACCACTTCTTGCTTCACCACAGCTGGATCCTCCACTCTCCTACCCTCCACAACAACAAAGTCAAGCAAATTCTTTCTCTGCCTTCTGCTAGCCATAATGTGAAAGTACCTAGTATTTTTATCACCAGAATGAGCCCACTTCTGCCTAGACTTTTGATGCCATAACTTTTTCTTGCTCCTACTAAGCTGCCACACCTGGCTTCTTACTTCTCTTCTTCTCTTAAAATCCTGTTCATCAAGGGACCTAGACTCTACCTTCAAATCCCATTCATGTAGCTCTTCCTCTGCTGTCTTTAACTGAGTGTCAATATTGCCAAACACATCCTTATTCCACACCCTTAAGTGACTCCTAAGCATGTTCAATTTTCTCATTACTCTAAACCCTGTCCACCCTTGAACTTGTGCTTCCTCTCACCTCTTTTTAACTTCTGACATGAAGGATGGATGAGATAACCAGGCATTGATAAATTTAAATGGCTTTGGTCCCCAATCCCTATCATCTTCCTTTATCAAAATGGGGCAATGGTCTGAGATTGTCCTAGGTAGACCCCATTGCTTAAACGAAAACTTTTCCATCCACTTCAAATCTAACAGGAATCTATCCAATCCTACTCCACATATTCCCATCCAGAGCATTGCACCAAGTATACTGCCTACCTAGCAAAGGCATATCAATTAATTCCAATTTTTTCACAAACTCATTAACGTCCTTCATCCCCCTTTCTCTAGATGAGCAACATTTCCTCTCACCCATATATCTAATCTCATTGAAGTCCGCTCCCACACACCACGGGTTTGGAAAATGTTGGTGGATACTCACCAGAGAGTCCCATAACTGTCTCCTCCTAAGAACCTTATTAGGAGCATAGATATTCACAAGAGTGCACTGAAAAGAATTACTAGACATACCTGATAATATGATGAAATTTTTGCTGCTGCTGCAGCAGCCCTTAAGCTCGAAGACTTGTGGCTTCCAAATACACAAAAGGCCTCCAGCACTTCCTTCTAAATCTACTAACAGAAATTCCAATTCTTCATAAGGCCAAATAGTTTTCACAAAATGATCATCCATAGAGCTTCTTTTAGTCTCCTGAAGAAAGAGCACATCAACACATCTCTCCCTCACCAAGCTCTTTATATTTCCTCTTTTTTCTGGCCTTCCCAGCCCTCTAACATTCCAAGATAAAATCTTCATGATAAACACACTACTTACACCCAATCCCCTTCAAACAGCCAGCTAAGCTCTGGTTGCCCTCTGTTCACCTTCAATTCTGCTCAAATCCTTCTCTTCCAGCTCCACGATTCTGTTCACTACCTCTTCCTCTTTGCCTTGGCAATCCACTCCTAATATAGTGCCTACTCTCACAGTTGACATAGCCTCCGCAATCAGTTGCCTCCTTCTGTTCGCTGCCTGACTCTGGGAAGTAGTCATGAAGAAAGCTGCTACATCAGCAAAAGCTCTGAGAATAGCTCCCCGTTGAAAGCCCAGCCTGCCAAACACGCCTCGCCTACACTCGATACCTTTTTTCCATGACTTTTCCCTTTTTTGCACTGCGTCTTCCTTTAGATTACTCCCTTTTGTAGTCCGTTTGACCATGTTTATGAGAGTTGTTTGGGCTACATTTGGCCTAAGCTGAGTCTGGGCCAAATTTTCACTCAGATCTGACTCCATCCCCTGAACCAGTCCACTGGGCTCAACCCCCTTTTGCACTCCCTCAATTAAAACTTCCAAATTTATACTGGGCCTTGCTTTTACTGGCCCACTCAACTCCCTTAAGAGACCTGTGCTACACATAGCCTCATCTATAATTTGAACTTCGTTCATGATTAACTAGCGGGAGTTGACATCCTGCTCCACCCCTCTCGCCTTGGAACATGCACCTTCATAGCCAGTCCCCACGCTCCTCCCTAAGTCAACCACTGCATTTGCATGCTTACCATCATTATCCCTACCTTGCACCTCAGAACTGCCCATCACAGTCTCCATAACCCTACTAGCCACCTCAAATCCATCACTCACCAACCTCTCTCTTCCCGCAGATGCTTTCCTTACACTCTTGCTTCGTCCACCATTGCCAAACAATTGGTCTACCTCTTCTTTGCCATTGGAATGCAATCGGCCTAGATCTTTCCCTCTGCTCTCAGAATGACTAGGAAATAAGCACCTGGGCAACTCTTCACAGACTCTAACTGGAATATGACAACCTTTGTGCCCCAGAAAAATTGTTGTATTGATCCACTCCAAACATCTCGTAATCACTCTAACCTTAGTTTGTTGAAAAGTTATTGGATTGTTGATATCCTCCTCAAATTGAACTACCTTCCCCCAATAACTACCTATGCTGCGAACTGTTGTGGTGCTCCATAAATTAATGGGAATGCCAAAACAGTTCAACCAGATGCACCTCTCTTGCTCTAAAAACTGGCCTTTTTTCCACTCATTGATGGATTCACACCACTGTTTTCCCCATCTCTGCAGCTTTCTCTTTCCTTCCTGCACCCGTTCTCTTGCAACTACATCCCCCATTCCTCTACTTCTCATTTCCTCTCTGAAATCCTTGAAGGCTAAGAAACTACTCAGCTGAACTACTAAACTTTCACTCCTCCACCCATTCCCTTCCGCATAAGCTTTTAACACCACCCTTTCTCTGTCTCTGGCATCATCACTTAGTAATCCCTCTGCATAGGATTTTTGGACTGCGTTACCTTTTCACTTCTTTGAGTGCACCCACCGATTGTCTACTCGACCTTCATCTCCTCTACTCAACCTCTTAGGCTTCTGCTGCCCCACTGTCTGAGGCTTTTGATACTCTGCACACTTAACCCTCAGTGCCTTGTTCCCATACCACAAGCCATCTACCTTCTGTATCGCCACCCATGCAGCCACCTCACAGTCGTATCTTACAAACCCAAATCTGGATTTTGAAGCTTTCCTCCTCTTACCTGGGATAAACACATCTTTGACTAGACCAAACTTTTGAAAAAGATTGAACAAACCTTTAGAATCCATTGAATCAGGGATATTATCCACGAAAATGGTGATCAAGACTCCCTCCTTGGTATCTCCCAGTTGGCTTCCCACTTTTCTCCTGCGTAACACTGGGTTCCAGCCCCCCCCCCAATCCATCTTATTTCTCTACCAGGTTATTAACACCAACTTGTAAATGACAAAATGGTACATGTCATCTTTATGATTCATAAAAAAGTGTTAACTTTACTTTGAAATGACAATAGAAAGAATGAATTATAAGAAAGCTCCCCCATAAACTTTGCTTGTCTCAAATTTTAATTTCTGTATTGGTTCATCTTGTCTGCTTGCACCTCAATGTTGTCTTACCTCCACGTAAATAAAATGGCTTTGAAGGTATGGAATCTGCTAGTGGTCTGGATGTGTACACCTATGAAGAACTGGAGTCTATCACAAAGGGATTAAGCACTGAAAACTTTATCAGGGATACCCAATTTGGAAAAGTGTTCCGGGGCAAAATTCAACATGGTTTGGGAGCCCAAGAGGTTACGGTTAAAATTTGGGAAGATTGTAAGATAAGTGTGGGGATATATTTTCTGAGTACCAACACGTGGCATGGTGACGCCGACGTATCAGCCGACGTGCCACGTGTCGTGGTAGTTATGCCGAGGTTATCTTAGATAGGCCGAGGTTGACTCCGAAGATATCGGAATCCGAGATAAGCGGATAAGGGACAAGAGTCCTAGAATGATGAGGGAACTCAACTTGGATATGGACAAGAGTCCTAGATAAAAGAGAAGACTTCTGCTAAGATAAAGATAAAGCTCTTAGGGAGTATATCTTTATCTCTTGAGGAATCCAAAGTAAGTACTAAATTGGAGTCCATAGAAGTCAGGCTTCTAGTAGGACTTGGATTGAGTAAACTATAAAAGAGAGGCACCCCCGTGGGTCTAAGGTACGCAGTTTTATACTCAAGCTTGTGAGTTTAGCACTTGATTATCTTTGAGAGATATACTGACTTGATCGTCGAAGTGCCCCCGGGTGGAAGAACCACCGCCGGAGCCTTTTCTTTTTGTTACAGGTCTGTTAAAGCCATCTATTCTGTCGGTGCTCTCCAGCTTATTACTAGGTGGGCAGTATGGTCAGAAAATTACCCATACAATTTGGCGTCGTCTGTGGGAACTTAGAAGAATAGATGGCCAGTGACGGACAGAGGGAAAACACTGGGGGCGACACTCCTGCTGGGAGTGGCAGACCAATTGATCTTGATTTTGAAGGAGACAACCATAACACAGAAACTCATGGCCAGGGCCACGGAGAGAAAGACGTCGGCCAGGAGGGCAATACTTCAAAGAAGACAGACCAAGACAAGTACTATAACAAAGATAACCTTCAGGTATGGAGGGATAGGTGCCTACGGAGGGATGAGGAAGTAAAAGACTTGGCAAACAAGTTGGCAGACCTACAGTCAGTGGTCAACTTCATGATGCAAAATAATGTCATGCAGCCACCATACCCGCTGTAGGATACACCGATGCCAGCAACCCATGGCCAGAAGGGAGGAAGAGGAATAATCCCCGAAGTCCCTCAGCACACCAGGAGCGGAAAGCACTCTCACCGACCTTCCAGGAAAGGCGGACGAGAGGAACTGAGACAAGAAGAGTCCCGAAGGACACATCGAATGAAGGATCCAGGGCATAAAGAACATCGGCATGTTCAAGGGCAGGCACTCTGCTTTGACACAATCCATGGAGAAAGATCGAAACGGGCCCACCACGAGGCCGAAAGTAGTGTGCCTAAAAGATTGAAGTCCAGAGATAGCCGAGCTACAGGTAGGAGTAAGGAAGACTTGAGGGATTACCTCAAAAGGAGGCAGCAGAATGTTGAAACCGATGTGACATCCCCAGTTAAGCCGAGAACACCGTTCTCAGTGGAACTGGACAAATTTGAAGCACCAAAGAGATTCAGTATGCCAAGGTTCCAAATTTATGATGGTAAGTCAGATCCCAACTTTCATGTCAGACTTTACCTGAACTCAATGGCATTATACAGTGGGAACGAGCCGTTGCTCTGCAAAGTATTTCCCTCATCCTTTGGGGAAATTGCATCTGATTGGTTCCATAAACTACCGAAGGGAAGCGTAAAGACATAGGAAGGCCTGGCCGAGATGTTTGTGGCCAGGTTTGTAACGAACAAATTACAGCCCTTGAGGGTCGATGCCCTGATGGCATTAAGAATCACCAAGGAAGAAGGCCTTAGGGCCTACGCGAAGAGGTACTACGAGGTGTTCAATCGAATACCCGAATGCAACCAAGAAGTGGCGGTCGTGTCTTTCAAGAACGGCCTGAAAGATGACTACCCACTATGGAAGTCTTTGGCAAAAACATTGCCAAAAAGCATGGAG